GACATCTGTATTGATAAATTACTGAATTGTAATAGTACAGAAAATTATAAATGAAGGGCCATTTGGGGCAAAGCTTGTTCAAATAAGGTAAATTACATTTATAATAAACTGATACCTTATTGGGCATTTGATGATCATATGCACATTTTGAATAATGGTGACAGATTTAGAAAGGCAGCAAGGATATGAAAGAAGAAACAGCTGTCCTGCATTTGAAACAATGCCTCTTTTGCTGAAAACAACAATGCCTCATACTTATTTATTGACATTATTTATAGCATCTCCAATCCATGGAGATTTGGGTGATGAACAAATGTAATTCAAATGTGCTAAATAATTGAAAAGGATCAAAAGATATTTGAGCCGAGGTGGCGCAGTGGTTAGGGTGCAGTACTGCAGGCCACTTCAGCTGACTGCTAGCTGCAGTTCGGCGGTTCAAATCTCACCGGCTCAAGGTTGACTCAGCCTTCCATCCTTCCAAGGTGGGTGAAATGAGGACCCAGACTGTGGGGGCGATATGCTGACTCTGTAAATTGCTTAGAGAGGGCTGAAAGCCCTATGAAGCGGTATATAAGTCTAACTGCTATTGCTATTGCTAGTAGTAGGCTGGAATTTGGGCCACAGAGAGAAAACAACATTTATAGGTGAGATTTCACTGACCCATTTGTCTGAAGTTCATTACTGATGTGCTATTAATTTTCGCAATGAAGTGTGTCCAAGGGAAATAACATTACTACCGTGTTTTGACCGAGGGCTTATTATTACCAAGGGCTTATTTTGGGGGGAGGACTTATTTTTGGGGAAACAGTAATATTAAATTCGTCTGCTTTTGAACAAAGGATTTTCCCCACCATTATTCATATGCTATTTTTAGGCAAAAGTAGTGACAGTTGATGCTGGAGGCAAGTTGGTAGTTCGGTAGTTTTACTATCGATGAAATTACAGCTCACATTATCTCAAGGGGGAGTTTGCACACTTTCCAATTTCTTTTTACTGACGCTGTGAAAACACTATTAACGTATTACACGCATAGATGAATAGTGAAAATGGCTCGCGGAGCTTCCCAACTCTTGGGTTTAAAATAAAAACTGAAACATTCCTATTCCCTTTAAAAAAGAAGTCAGTGCATTTATTTATTTTTTCATTGTGGAATACATAATACATGCATAATAATTCCAAGGATATGAATTGACCCAGCATCACTAATAATAGCAGGAAAAAAGCTCGGCCTACAAGCATCTCTGTCAGGTGTGCCTCCATCAATAAACAAGAAAGAAAACTCCCAACTGTTTATGGACTTAAAATACTTTTACTGATTATGAAAAGATAGCAGCGAAAGTAAAGCAGGATCTGAGCCAGAAAGGCGCGAACAAGTACATATCAAATGATAACCCAGCCCCCTCCCTCCAATAACCCCACCCCAGTGTCCAATCTGCAACTCCCTTAGGTGTCATGTGGGGTGCATGTCCAAAAGGCATCATCATGTTGGTATGCAGGATGGTTGGCCTTGACCAGGTCCAAACACCGGCCACCAGCATGCGCGGAAGATGGTGAGAAGAATGCTCCCTTCTCCATATCACCTCCTGTACCATTTATTCCCATCCCAAATACCATGCCCCCACCCTCCCCGTTTCTACGGCAGCCGATAGCAAGTAAGCGAAGCAGAGGCTGACAATCTCTCTGATAAAATTATGTCCAAAAATTTCTGAGTAGTTTGAATTTAGATTTGGGCAAGGGGAAAGAGCCAGATTCTATTTTTGAGATTAAGTGGAGTTTTTAACCTTTTAGATATTAAGTTTTATTTTTATTTTTTAAAAATGATGTGCTTTTATTTGGACTGCACCAGTTTCAGACTATGTCAACCAGAGCTGGAAGGGACTTTTGAGGTCTTCTAGACCAACTCTGAAGCGGGAGACCCTATACCCGTCATGGCGAACCCAGGGCATATGGGCCAGAGGTAGCACACAGAGCCCTCTCTGTAGGCATGCGTGCCATCACCAGCTGTTCTTTTGGTTTCCGCACATGTGCACCAGCCAGCTGGTTTTCGGGTTTCCGCCGCTCCAGCATGCGTGTGTGCATGTTCCAGTTTTGGCACTTCATGCCGAAAACGTTTGCCGCCATTGCCCTATACCATTTCAGACAAGTCTCTTCTTAAAAACCTCCAGGGATGAAGCACCCACAATGTCTAAAGGTTCCCATCACCTCAACTAGATAGTGGAAGTTATTGAGATCTGATTTCCTCAATATTCTGTCCGTTTGATGGATGGACTTGGCGGCCGAAAATGATGGATGTTCTTTGTGGCTTGAAATCGTGTTTTTTTGGTTTCCCTGCTTTGACAATAAACAATGGATACGCGCGTTGGGAATTGTTCAGCAAGCCATGCTTTCAAAGGCCGCTGTCAGAAGGAGAACAGAGATGGATTCTGACACTTCCAGGACGAAGTGATAATGATGGCCCACATCTTTTCCATGGCTTTCAGCTATCTTGTAAAATGCAGACGAGTTATTTACTTGCAGAGAGGGTGTTATTTTTATTGAATCATTAAAACAAGGCAGTACGGTTTTCATTATGCTGGTCACAGCCAGGCTTCGAACTAACAGAGAACATGCATAAAACAATTTGGATTGTCGCACTTGAGTTGAATTAGAGTAGGAGTGTCAAACTCGATTTCATTGAGGGCTGCACCAGGGTTGTGGTTGACCTTGGGTGGACATGGCCAGCTTGATGTCACAAATTGTAAAATCAATTTTTTTCCCCACTGAAAATTGTTCTGCGCATGCGCAGAACCAAAAAACAAGATGCCGTCCGTGTAGGACAACCGGTTCGGGGGCATGGCAGGCATGGGTCTCTGCCGGTTCCAGCGACCCAGGCTGCCAAGTTACTATCAGTTCAGCCTAACTGGTAGGAACCCACCTCTGTGCCTGTGGCCCAAGCGCTCTGCCAGTGAAAACTGCTCCCACGCTCCGTTTTCACTGGCAAAGGGTTGCAGGAGGCCGTCCCAGCCAGAAATGGAGCACGCGGCCCTCCCACGCTCCATTTTCGCTGGCAGAGGCACCACGGGTTGGTCCTTCGCTGTTTTCAAGGCGGCCCCACGGGCCAGATCTAAGCACCCCGCATAGAGCATTGTAACTTGAATAACGCCATCTCGTCCTAACACTTGTATTCTTATTCTTTCTTCTTTTTTTTTCACGTAGTCTGAACACCCCTCCTGGAACAAAAATTAAGCTGCTGGGAATCGTGGAAGTGAAAAATGGCTTTCTCCTTCTGGATGACAGCAACACGGTGGTTCTTGGAGGGGAAGTGGAGCACCTGATAGAAAAATGGGAGTTGCAAAGGGTGAGGTAACATGGTGCATTTCCCCACCTTAAGCCAAAAATGTTAAAACTCCAGCTGGCGTGTTGGACACATTTAAGGATGATGTATTTTCGCTTCGTTTTACTGCAGCAACGCCAATATTTTATCTAGATTAGATCTAGATACGTTATGTACATATATTCTTTTCCAGGGAAAAGAAGAACTAGGGGTGACACAATAGCAGCATTCTAGTATTTGAGGGGCTGCCCCAAAGAAGAGGGGGATCAACTTATTTTCCAAAGCACCTGAAGGCAAGACAAGAAGCCATGGAGGGAAACGTATCAAGAAGATGAAGCAATCTGAAATTAAGGAGAAGCGTCCTAACAGTGATAACAATTACCGTATTTTTGGAGTATAAGATGCACCTCCCCCCCCTTAAAAGTGGATGAAAATTTAAGTGCGTCTTATCGACCGAATACGGGCGTTTTTGGCCTCCCAAACCCTCCACAAATCACATTTTTGCCTTCCCCGGCCCCCACAAGCGCTCTGCAGTGCTTTACACAGCCCGGGTTTTTTTTTGCCAAAAACAGGCTCATTTTTGGGCTCCCAAGCCCTCCGCGAGACACGTTTTCGCCCTCCCCAGCCCCTAGAAGCACTCTGCAGGCCAAAAATGCATTTTGGGCANAGGGGCGTGTGCACAAGCAGTCCTTTTTATAGTCTGGAGAGGAGCCTAATGACCACCAGCTGAGTGCAATTACCTCCTGTACTTGCGCAACTGTTCTTGATGCCTATTAGCTCTTTGGTGCCGGGCATCCAGGAACAACTCACTGCTGGCATCCGGATCACTCTCCCTTGTCTCCTCCCCATTGGTCCAAGGCTCAGGTGCCTCCTGGTGACCAACCAGCCTCTCTGCACCCTGCTTGGAGTCAGAACCCTGTCCAGGGTCCTCCACATCCTCCGGAGCCGACTCAGAGGGCCCCTCACTGTCGGAGTCTGGTGGCAGCTCCAACGGCTCCTGCTGGGCCACAACAGTTCCCCATCATGGGAATGGGGGGGGGGGTGTCAACCTATTCTCCAAAGTATCAGGACTAGAAGCAATGGAGGAAAACAAATCAAGGAGAGAACCAATCTATAACTAAGGAAACATTTCGTGACATTAATTAATTAATCAATCAGTGGAACATTTGCATCCAGGAGTTATGGGTGCGCCAACACTGGAGATTTTTAAGAAGAGATTGGATAGCCATTTGTCTGAAATGGGATAGGGCCGTGATGGTGAACACATGGCATGCGTGCCGGAAGTGACACGCAGAGCCATCTCTCCAGGTACGCCAGCCATCGCCTGTTGTTCTTCCAGGTTCCTGCGTGAACATGCACGGCGCCCAACTAGTCTTTGTGCATGCATGCACGCCAGAAGCCAGAAGACCAGGTGACTGGGGAAACCGGGAGCTTAGCTTCTCGGTGCACCTATACATGCCAGGGAACTGCTCTTCCGGTTTCCAGTGCTCCCGCCCATGCGCTCCCATTTCGGCACTTGTTGCCAAAAAGGTTCGCCAGCCTTGGCATAGGGTCCCCTGCTTGAACAGGGGGCTCGGCTAGAGGATCTCCAAGGTCACTTCCCACCCTTTGTTACATCATATTTCCATTTTCAATAATCAGTTTAACGAACCAAGCCAATGCATGGTTACAAAGAGTTTTGCATTGTTTACAAAAAGAGAATTGTCTCCTTATCTCATACTTCATTAAGCCAAATACATTGATTCCTATATAGACTGTAATTAGATATATATTATTTATTCCAAGTACTCATTTCCCTTCCTGAATCAAGCAGGTCATTTTGGTACGGCATTGCAGGGGAAGAAGGCCTCACAATTTCTCCGTTGAGTTTTCTACATGCTTATTATTGTTTTTCTCAGGAAAGTGAGATACCTCAGGGTTTCCCCCCCCCCCCCCAGTAGTCCCAAAAACTGAAGAAGCTTCTTGGATGAGAAGGGAAACGCCTTCAAAGAAAAAAAAAACCTAGAAAGTGCAGTTGTCCTTTGAAAAAGCATCTTTGGGACAACCATGACTGAGAATCTCCATATCGTTAGAAACACCACTGAAAAAAAGGGACTCATAACCATTTTTTCCCTACTTAATGACTGTTTGCAGTGACCGTCCCAGGATGAGACATTTCTTAAGTGAGTTTTGCCACATTTTACGACCCTTCTTACCTCTGTTGTTAAGTGAACCATTGCAGTTATTAAATAAACGACATGGTTAAGTAAACCTGGTTTCTCCCGCCGATTTCGCCTGTCAGAAGGTTGCAAAAGGGGATCACATGACCCCCTCCAGACACTGCAACCGTCATAAATACGAGTCAGTTGACAAGTGTCTGAACGTTGGTCTCATGGCCACGGGGATGCTGTGACGGTCATAAGGGTAAAAAATGGCTCATACGTCATTTTCTTCGGTGCCGTCGTAACATCAAACGGTCACTAGGTGAATGTTGTAAGCCGAGGGCTACCTGCATTGGCTCGGTTTGTTACACTGATAATTGAAAATGGAAAATCATTCCTGATATAACAGAAAAATTGGAAAGTTGGAAAAGGAAGTCTTGGAGATCTTCTAGTCCAGCAACTGGTATGAGTTTATGATGCTTGCAATGTCCTGGAGTCATCCCAACAGTGCTTTTTTCAAGAGGCAGCTGAACTTTTTGGTTTTCCTCTGAAGAGGTTTTGCTTCTTGTCCAAGAAGCTTCTTCAGCTCTGACTGGATGTGGATTTGCTCTCATTGCAGACAGCTGGTCATTTGCATTCCTTTAGAGAGTCATTGAGGCCACTTGGAGGTCTCTCTGTGTCCTCAGGGTCACCTGAGTGGCGCAAATGGGTATGGAGCCTTCTTGGAACTGTTGAAAGGACTGTGTTGTAGACTGGAGATAGATGATGATGTATCCCTCCCACTCTGTTGAGAGAGGGCCGTTCAATTTTGATATACTGTATTTTTCAGAGTATAAGACACATCTTTTTCCCTCAAAAAAGAGGGTGGAAATCTGGGTGCGTCTTATACACTGAATACAGCATTTTTGGCCTCCTGAAACCCTGCCCCCTTTGCAAAAATAGCCATGCATAGCCATTAGGAGGCTTCCAAGAGCCAAGGTGGCGCAGTGGTTAAATGCAGCACTGNGAACTAATTGTCTCCTGCAAACTCCACTCCCCTTTCACTCCTCTTTTATTCCCTCTGGGAGGGGCCATTCACCGTCCACCTGTGGCCTTACTCCCGAGTCGACCCTTGTTCCTTAGCTGTTCCCTTCATCTGGCAACTCTGCGCATGCGCACACTGGGAACAGGCTCCAGCTGTTTGTCTGCCTCACTGATGTCTGACTACGAAGGCAGCTGATAACTGGCATACGGCCGTGGCCTCGTCTCTGCCTCCGACACAAAGCCCTCATCCGAGCCTTCCCCAGACTCCAGGAATGGCCCTTCTTCCTCCCCAGCTTCTTCAGTGTCTGAATCTGGTGCCAACTTTGCTGGCTGCTGGTGGGCCACAACAGTCCCTTCCAACTTTGTTATTCTGTTATACCAATCAATCAATCAGTCAATTTTCTTTTTTAGCGTTGAACCTAAAACGGGCCACACAGGTTATGGATTCTAATTGTAGCATAGTTAGAGCATGTATCATCGACGGACTGGATTTTATTATAGATTTTAGCTGTTGTTTATTATGTTATACTAGAATTTTTAATTGCATATTTACTGAGCGTTTTTATTTGTTCTGCTGTCTGACCTAAGACTGTAATAATAGATTGATTGGTTGATTGTTATGTCAGGAATTGTTTCCATTTTCAATAATCAGTTTAATGAACCAAACAGGTAGTACACGACTTACAGTATTCACTTAGTGACCATTCAGAGTTACAACCGCATTGGAAAAGGGGACTTAGGACTTAGTTTTTCACAGTTACGGCCTTTCCATTATGCCCATGGTCACATGATCATAATTGGGGCACTTGGGAACTGGTTCCTATTTATGACCGTTGCCGTGTCTCGAGGTCACGTGATCCCCTTTTGCAGTCTTCCGGCAATCAACGGCAAAGCCAGATTCATTTAATGACCAGCTTAGCAACTGGTTGTTAAGCAACTGCAGTGATTCACTTAACAACTGTGGCAAGAAAAATCGTAAAATGGGGTAAAACTCACTTAACGAATGCCTCACTTTAGCAACCTAAATTCTGGGCTCAATTGTAAGTCGAGGCCTCTTCCTGTATGCAAAATTCAGTTTTATCAGTGCCTCTAATAAAAAAGTGCCCAGGTCACTAAATAAACTGGTTGTAAGTTAAGGACTAACTACACCAGCTGTCCTTTCAACTCTTGCCAATCAGGTGTTTGGTGGTCCTGTTTCCCAACCCAAAATGTTAAACGTTGATAGTCCTCAACTTAAAACCATTTATTTCAGAGATAACCACCCTTTGAAGTTTCAATGGCATTGAGAAAACTGGCTTTATGACCGTTTTCATGCTTAACGACCATTGCAGCATTCCCTTAGGCACGATTCCCTTAACCCCTGTGTTAACTGTGGTGGTTCGCTTAACAACCGTGGCAGGAAAAGTTGTAAAACTGGGGAAAAGTCAACTCAACACCCACTGCCTCGCTTAGCAGTGGAAATTTGGGGCTTACGATTCTGGTCGTAAGTCGAGGAATGCTTGTGACCAGCTTGTGCTTCTCAAGTCACTTTAGAAGTACATAGCGGTGGCCTTGCTAAAGCAAAGGTTCTCTTTCTAAAAGACCAAGACTTTTGGAGGCGGTGGAAGTAACACCAGAAGCAACCTCAGTTTGAATGCAGGAGGGAATCGAAGCAGAGACGTATTCCAGAAAGAGAAGATGAAGCCTGAAGGAAAAAATGAAGGTGTCTATCGTGAATTGGTAAGATACACATCTCTAAAAAAATAATATAATAATAGAATTAGAGTAGAAGTAAATTAGAGTGGAGTGGAGTAGAGTAATTGGAATGAAGAATAGAATTTAAATATAGAGTGGAGTGGAGTATTGGAATGAAGAGTAGAGTAGATTAGAGTAGTTGAAATGAAAAATAGAGTAGAATAGAACAGAATAGAATAGAAAAGAATAATGGAATGAAGAATAGAATGGAGGAGAATAGAATAGAATAATGGAATGAAGAATAGAATGGACTATAGAATAGAAAATAATGGAATGAAGAATAAAATATAGAATAGAATAGAAAAGAATAATGGAATGAAGAATAGAATGGAGAAGAATAGAATAGAATAATTGAATGAAGAATAGAATGGACTATAGAATAGAAAATAATGGAATGAAGAATAAAATGGAGAATAGAATAGAATAATGAAATGAAGAATAGAATGGACTATAGAATAGAATAGAATAGAGGAGGTCTTCTAGTCCAAACCGCCCTACTCAGGGAGGACACCCTATAAATCATAACCACATAGTATGAAACTGTCATTGTGTTCAGTCAGTTATTATTACTGAGTGTATAGAAGAGCCACAGAGATGATTAGGGTACTTGTTGTGGCCCAACAGCGGCCGGCTGAGCTGTTGGTGGAATCTGACGGCGATGAACACTATGGGACTGCCCTCAAGGCTGAGGAAGACTTTGGGGGGTGTTCGGAGTCAGAGCAGGGACTAGAGAGGCCTGTTGGCCACCAGATGGCATCTGAGTCAGAGAGCAGTGAGGAAGAACAGAGGGAGGCTCTCCCTGACGTAGGTAAGTGTAGGGCTGCGAGGAGGAGGGAGCAGCTTTGGAAAAAGGGTCACAGAAGGAAATAGGAACAGGTGGCTACTGATTGGCCCCTCCCGGAGAGCTTATAGGTGGGGCGACAGGAGGGGAATTTTACAGGAAACAACAGTTTACTAATCCAGACGTAGAGAATTTCGTGAGTTCAAGCCTTGTTTTCATAGAGATAATTTTCTGGGCTCCTAGCCAAGGGGTTGCTTATCTCCCTCCTTAGTTGTGGCAGACAGCCAAGTCTGCATCAGTATATATTAGAGGCTTGGGACAGAACAGAACTGGAGGTTGAAACACGAAGAACAGTTACAGAATTGGGCATTGCTAGTTCAATGAAAGGAAGGACGAGGGCTGACAATCTTTCAATATCTGAGGGGCTGCCACAAAGAACAGAGGGGGGGGGGTGTTTTCAATCTATTCTCCATAGCACCAGAGGGTAGAAAAAGAAGCAATGGGTGGAAACTAATCAAGGAGAGAAGCAACTTAGAACTAAGGAGAAATTTCCTGACAGTGAGAACAATTAATTAAACAAAGGAACCACTTGCCTCCAGAAGTTGTGAGTGCTCCAACACTGGAAGTTTTTAAAAAAGAGATTGGGCAGCTATTTATTTGAATTGGTAAGGGGTTTTCTGCTTGATCTGGAGGGGGTTGCTCTAGAAGGGCCCAGCAGAGTTGATACCACCTGAAAACAACAACTGAATGAATAACTACTGGTTACCTCCTACCGCTGCACCATAGAGAGTATTTTAACTTACTGTACCTGTGTATAATTTGCCAATTACACAGTGGCAGATAGGACAGTGCGCCAGAGGGTCAACGTCATTGCCCAGAGGATCACTGGTTGTTACCCTCTCCCCTCTTTGGAACAGCTTTATAACTCCCGCTGCCTTAAGTTCAAAACATTCTTAAAGATCCATCTCATCCTGGGCTTTGCTACGCGATTTAGATTCGCTAGAGAGCAGGAACCAGGGGTGAAATGCTACTGGTTTTGGGCTGGTTTGCCTGAACCAATAGTTTAAAAAATGCTTAAAAAAATTAAAAAATAGTTCCGGCAACCAGCTGTGCGACAATCAGATGTGTTGTGTGATTTTTGGAAGTGATTTTTGTTTTACTTTTAAAATAATTTTTAAACTACCGGTTAACCGGCCCGAACCAGTAGCATTTCACCCCTGGTTCTAGCCTAAAACTCCCCCCCCCCCGCCCCTTACAACAGAGTCTTTTACAGAAAGCAAATATTGAGTAATATTCAGGAAAAAATGAATCAATCGCATAAAACAACAGTTCAATATTTTTTTTCTTTATTTGCTTTTTTAAAAGCAAGGGTCTTGTTTTGTTTCATCTTCAAATTGACTTTATTTTTGCTCATTTCTCTCGCAGGTGGATGAAAAGGCTCTCAAACACATAACAGAAATGGGCTTTAGCAAGGAAGCCGCCCGGCAGGCACTCATGGATAATAGCAACAACCTTGAAGCGGCATTAAATTTCCTCCTCAACAGCAATAAACAAGCCACCGCTCAAGGACCAGCCGCTAGAGGTATAATTTCATTTATCTATCAGACAGAAAAGGATTTTTGTAGCATCTGTTTTTTTTTTGGGGGGGGGGAGTACAAATTTATTTCCTTACGGTACAGATTTATTTACTCCTCAACTTACTACACAGTTCACTCAGTGACCGTTTGGACTTACAGCGGCACTGCCACACATGCGTGGGGGGGGAGGCGTATGCACGGGGAGGGGGGGGGGCGCTTGCATTGCACATTGGGGATTCGTGCATGTGCCCCGTTTTGGGCCAGGAAGGCCTCTTGCACCAACCTGGAAGCCAAAAATGGGCAGTGGGCAGGGCAAATGTGCAAGGGACGGTTGCGCATGCGTGGGGGGGGGGGCGCTCACATTTCATTTTGGGGCTTCGTGCACATGCTTTGGGTCCTCGGCACTAAAAAGGTTAGCCATCCCTGGCATAGGCCTTCACTGTATTTCTAAAGGAAATGTAAAATATAATGATTTTAAATGCTTTACAACATAGACTCGGTTTCTTTCCCCTGTCTAACTAGGCTGTGTGGCTTATCTTTAGGAAAAGGAAAGGGGAGAGGCCGAATAAGACCTGAAGATGAGGAAGAACTTGGAAACGCCAGGCCATCTGCTCCAAGCACTTTGTTTGACTTTCTCGAGTCCAAAATGGGTACTCTCGCAGTAGAAGGTAGGTGGGAAGATCAGGAGTCGCCTGGCTTTGTCCTTCGTGAAAATCTGCTTGTACAGAATTACACGTGGGTTGTCTCTCGAGAAAAATTAAAGGTCATTAAACAACACGGCTGTTCTGACCCAGCTCCCTAAATATGACAAACCCTCTGAAGTGAACTCAAAGATTCCTTCATTAGGAGCGCCAGCAGCCCCAGCAAAAAGTTTATCGCTCAACGCAGGCTAACAAGTCCGTCCATCCATCCGTCTGAAGGATAGCAATAGCAATAGCAGTTATACTTATATACCACTTCATAGGGCTTTCAGCCCTCTCTAAGCGGTTTACAGAGTCAGCATATCGCCCCCAACAACAATCCGGGTCCTCATTTCA